AAAAAAAAAAAAAAAAAAAAAAAAAGCTTGGGCAAGTGATCCTTCTTTAAGCCTCAGCTTCTCAATCCAAAATGAGGGTGGTGCTTGTGCTTATCTCGCAGAGGTGTTAAGAACGGCATGACTAGGCAACTCAGCATTTCCCCTTCTCTCTCCTGGTGCCAAGACCCAGGTGTGGAGGGATGAGTGGGGGGCAGGAAGGAGGAAAGTGAAGGCCTAAATGATCCTTCAGGGATCAGGGACTGAGGCTAGGGGACCCCTCAAGCTGCGGACACAAATCTAACAAGGAGGAGCTGTGCAGGGACAGGGGACTGGTACCTCTGCTAACAGCTGCTGGAAGTCCTTGGCGCTAACACAGCCTCGGCTGCGCAGGATCTGGGAGCAGAAAGAACACTGAGCATTACTGTATGCCCTTAGGAAGTCCCTTCACTCTCTAAGCCTCAGTTTCCCCTGCTTAAAATGGGGAGAGGAGCCCCGACCTCAAAGGATCATGGAAAGGATGAACTCCGGAACCTTGTCAAGCTGACGGCAGGGCTCCGGGCTGGTGTTGCTATAAGGTGGCAAGCTGAGCCCGGCCCTGTCCTAAGCCCTCTACATGCCTGTTCATTCCTTCCTCACCACCTCACAGAGAGATACTATTACCCCTTTACGGTGAGAAAACTGAGGCACAGAGAGGCCGTCATTCTTGTATTTAAGGATGCGGTGCGCGCCGAAGGGAAGCAAACGACCTTGGGGACGAACTTCCCTCCGCCACTGCCCCTCTCTGCCCACTGCTCCGTAGGGATAACAGCGGCCACTCACCGGGCCGTAGTCCCGGAGCAGCTGCTGCTCGCCTCGGAAACGCACGTGCAGCCCATAGCGCGCCACGTACAAGTTATCCGTGTAGAAGCAGGCGCAGCGGCAAAAGCGCCGCGGTGCCGCCACCGTCGCCATAGTGAAGCGCCCACGGCCCTGCCCGCTTCCGCAGGGGCACTTCCGGGTACGCCCCAACCGCGGGAGGCGCGGAACCAGCGGCCAAGGGGCCGCTGTAAGTTCCCAAGGGCGGAAAAGGACGAAGATGCACCTCGCCAGGAAACGGTCTGCGGAGAAAGATGCTCCTGGGACGGGTTGGGACCGGCGGCCCCCTCGTTCCGCCTCTCAATTTTCCCACCACGAGGCAGGGACTAATGGCTCCACTTTACAGACAGCTGAACTGGGTCCCGCCTTCACTGGACGGGGAGAGGGAGGGACTCGGAGCCCCAAGGCCTTTGACTTAAACGTCGGCCCCTCTTCTGCTCGGAGCCTGTGGAGAACCGGCCGAGCCCACGGGGAAGGCTGAGGACAGTTTAAAGAGCTCGGAGGTCCTACTAGTTCCCGCCGCTGCTTCAATCATCCAGACCTGTGCGTTTGAGTTTGGATTTAGCATCTACCCCGGGTCCCTGCCTGGCGCTTCCGGTCCCTCCGCCACAGTCTCTTGGAGTACCTCAGATTGCTCCAGTGAGTGTCTCCGCTAAAACGTTCCGCCTCGCGTTACTTCCGGTGGCGTTCCCAACGGACGCGGGAGGGCGGGGTCAGATGTGGGATGGCGACGGGGCGTGGTCTCACCGCGGCCAACAAATGACAAGTCCTGCAGACCGAGCCTCTTCCGTCCCCGCACCTTTGCTCAGTGATCTGCCAGCATTAAACCTTTGAGCTAGGTACTATTACATCGCCGTGTTACAGATGGGGAAACTGAGACCCAGAGAGGCACAGGGACCCACCACAGGTCACACATCCAGTAAGGGACAAATATGGCGTTTGAACCCAACAGCCTGCCCTCTGAGTTCCCCAGTTCACCACCACAGGGCTTCTGGGAGTGGTGGGAGTATGTGGGATTTGGGGTTTTCTCGTGCAGAGCTGCCCGGCCCGAGAAGGTGTTTAAAGTTTTACAGCCGTCTTGATTGCCCAGTGATAGCGAGAGGCCCTGCTATCTAGGAAAGGATCCATTTCCCCTGCTCAGTGGTCATTACCCGCCTAACTGCCCTTTTTCCCCAGGAGGCCCAGAGCAGGTCGGCTCCCCAGCCAGCCACCAGGCAGGCCTGGCACATGCAGTACCCCACCCCATCCTCACCCCCTCTCCCTTTGCAGCAGTTTGCAAGATGAGCGTGTACTATTTATCAGTTTATTTACTTATTTATTTTTTGAGATGGAATTT